CACTTGCCTTTTCTAACCATGCTTTGTTCTCTGGTTCCAGCATTGGCTCACAGCCTTGGGTCAAAAGAGACAGAAATCTTGGTATTTTTAGAGGTATTCTAATAAATACTGTTGGTTCAGTCTATAATTATTCATTCAGACTATAATTAATAAATATTTTAAGCTTTTCCAAATAAGCAAAATTAGCAGTTCCTCATTCAAAATGTATCTTTTTTAATTAGTTAAGGATATTGGTACATTTTATGAATATGTACGAATAACATCCATCATGGAGAATTGGCACCTGCACAGGACATGTTTTAATTCTTTCCTTCCCATTCTTGCACCTTCTCTTCAGCCCCTCTGAGTTCCTCAGGGGCTTTCCTTGTTCAGTGCTATTCTGTGCTTCTTAGATTGGTCCCCACACAGTGGTAAAACAAAACTTCATTCTTTCAATTATTTTTACTTTGTCTGCCATGTGCCCAGTCTTAGTATTTGTTGGGAAAACTGATCACATATCTAAATCCACAAAAATTAGTACAAAACTAGCTAATGCTGATATAAACCAGTCTGTCTCTTTAAATGTGTAAGAGTAATAAAATTAACATTTTATATGCCATTCAAGGTGTGAGGCTACTTGTTTATTGGCATAAGCTTCAGCTTCTGCATATCTGCTGCACTCCAGCAAAGTAACCATCATTTGTTTCTATCTTTTATCCTTTTTATTTTAAAGAGAATAAAAATAATAAATAAAACATTAAAAACTATACAGAATTTCAAAAAAGGAAGGCGACAGGAATTCAACGATGGTCACTATACAGCATATCGTTGCCTTCAGGATCTTGCTGAGGTTAGCAGATATAAGCATGCGCAAGTGGTGAAAATAAAAATTTTAAGCATTAACTGCTCTGTCCAAAATCTGATAAAAATTACTAGCATAATCATCCTAGCTATCCTGTGGATACACGTATGTGTTTTTTCTTTTCTCTTTCTTCTTCTTCCTTTTCTCTTTCTCCTCATCCCAATTGTTCTTTCCTTGCCAGGATTTCCTATCAGCTGGTTGCCCCAACGTACAACACATAGACATCAGTGAGCTCTCCAAGGCGCCCTGCACTGATGCGGCTATTCATGGTGCTCCCTGGAAAAGAAAGTGCTCTTTATTCCGTCCAAGCACCCGTGAGACAGCAGAGCTACCCTTTGCTCAGACTCATGGTAGTCATTTTAAAGCTTCCATTATGACTTCAGCACGCTCCCTTCATAACCATTTCCCGCACCACTGCTAGGCGTTATGAGCAGCCAAATAGCTTATAAACTATATCCATATTGCTCTGATAGCAATGAGCAAATAAAACTAATGTATGTGTATGCGATTAACATCTCCCAGAGTGATATAAACCTAGATGAAATCATGTCAACAGAGGAATCTTGAACATGCAATTTTTAGACCTCTCGGTAAATGAGTATTGAAAGATCACACACACATACATTCATGAATTCCCTATCTGTATTAGAATCCAAGAAAAATAACAATCGAACCTTACTTAGGAAACATATCTTGAGATTTTAAAGCATCCAACAACTCCTCTTTGTGCCATCAGGTTTAGAAAATAATAAAATAAAATAGTTTCAGCCTTTGAGCAATTTACAGTCACATGTCTGATGTAGTCTTTGTTGCCAGAAAGAGAGTCTTCTATGCAAAAAATGGTCTACGGTGCCACTCTTAGTGAACAGAATCTTAAATTTTATGATCTGGCTCTAACTTTTTGCATGAGCTTTTTTCCCCATGCTGACATTCATTTCCTGTCCTTGAGCACACCATTTATTTTAGTGGCTTTTTTTTTTTCTACCAAAAACACGCACATCTAATTTATGTAACATTGAACTAAGACCCTTGGAACATGTCACTAGTAAGCCATGGTGTTCGCTACTTTGTCCTTTCTCTTTATAATTTTTTCCTGTCTCTCTTTTTTATTTTATTACCTTCTTCAGAAAATTTATTTCAAAGAGAGTATAGTAATAATTGAGAGGACATTAGGGATAGTACACATTTAGAAGACCAAGATGGCAGGTATTTAAGCTTGGTGTTTGTGTTACACATTGCTGTCCTCAATGTAGTTGCTTAGATCACAGATACCAGCATACAGCGTTAGTCAAGGTGAAAATTCTACACATTTAAAAAAAATTATTGGAAATTCTTAGTAAAATCATCTCAGCCATTCTGTATAGATACTTATATGTCTTTCCCCTACCTTTTTCCTATCTTTTCTCCTTTCTCTCCGCTTTTTTTTTTTTTTTTTTTGGAACCGGGGATTGAACTCAGGTCCTTGCACTTGCCAGGGAAGTGCTTATACTACTGAGCCATCTCCCCGGCCCCTCTCCTTTCTCTCCTCTTTATATAATTTTATCTTGAATAGTGAGCCCCATAAGAGATCAGTGCAACACAGTTTATTATTCTGTTTACTGTCACAAGATTGGTAACAACTACAAAACACTGCTCGGTGTCTACTTCATAAAGAATATTTAGTACTCGTTCCAGTGGGCTGCTTGTATCCTATAGACAATGTTTTTGGTGTAAAATGGATGGGGTTCTTCATTTGTTAGACAGCTGAAATTAAACAACATTTAAAGCATTTTCTATACCGTACTTCATATTTTGTTGAGCAGCATGTAGCTTTCCTGTCATCTTTTCATCATTTTGATTTTACACATTATTTTAATATTGTTGTCCAGGGGCTGGGGATTTGGCTCTGAGGTAGAATGCTTGTCTAGCAAGCTGGAAGCACTGGGTTTGGTCCTTGGCACCACAAACAAAAAAATAAACTCCCCTAAAAAAAATTTCAACCAAAAAAATACAGTACAAATGTTGTTGTCCAATGGATCACCAGGCAAGCTTTATTTTTCTTAAAAAGAAGGCTGATGAATAGACAACTACATAAGATGAGAAACTTTTACTTGAACCTGAGGGCTCTCTCTCTTTTCTCACTCGGAATTGCCGTTGCCATGTGAGTGAGTGGCTCCGCTATATCCATTTTCTCATTTTCTCATCCATCTCTCATGTTCTGAAAGCTGGCTTCTCCTCCCCGCTTTATGAAGTCTTTTTAAAAAGACTTTGCCATTTTCCAGCTATTTGAGCTTGGAAAAGTGACTGGATCTTTCTGTGCCTTATGTTCCTCATTTCTAAAATGGAAATAATAATGCCTCTATCGGTTTATTTTGAGACTGAACTGAGACAAAGTATATGCAATGGTTAGCATAATGCCTGGCACATAGGAAGTGTTTAAAAACTGGTGCCAATGACGACAGTGTTGTAGTAACGGTGGATATTTTCCCACATAGCTCCATCTTCAGGGCTTTCGTGTTTATTAACAGCACAAGGCTTTTCTACTCATATGCACTTGAGCATCATGTTTGACTCGCTGACACTTTCGCCTTTTTTATCCAGCCTGTCAGGAGACACCGTGTCTTTTTCCCTCCACAGCAGCCCTCAGAACAGCCCCTTCTCTAGTCCCCTGCCACCATCTTCATCCTGCCTGTGAAGGTTCTCCAGGGTGTGGAGACTCCCTGCAGTGTTGCCAGTGAGAAGAAGAGCAAAGGAACCCAAGGAGGTCATCCCTAAAGGCACGCCCTCCACCACCACACAGGCAGCAAGGAGTCACCATTCAGGAATGCCGGTGCATTCATTTTGAAATACAGATTCAGAAAGTTTAAACAGAAAGAGTCTCATTTAATGCCTAAGCAAATATTTTATTTGAAGGAATGTGCGAATAGAGGCAAAGACAGGGGAAAGGGCCAGAAGAGACGGTTTTCGTGGTTAGCAAGTCAAATTGAACAAGGGGAAAGATGAGCAAGCGGAGCAGATGGCAAAGAGGCAGTCAGAAGGTGGGAAGAGAGTAGCGTCACAAAGAAGCCATGAAAAGGAATCCCACTGCTCAAAGCTATTCATACCACGTCTCAATGAAGCCATAATTATTTCGATGTTCTGTCACCAGTCACTGACTGATATTTAAATTGGAGAAATAGCTTTCAATTCTACTGGCAGGAATTACAAGTCCTTACTACTGGGAATGAATCTGTTCTCACATGGTTCTTCTCGTTAGACTTGATGTTAGTCTAACAATCCTGGCATGTTAGTTTTGCAATTATCTGACAATAACAGTTTTGAGGAATTACCATGCCTTATCATTGGGTATTTACTGGAAGAACCATTTAATGGAATCTGACACCGGATGAGGCACGTATTTTAATATTTGAGCCCCTTGTTACAAATTGAAGATAGCCTAGGCTGGTTATTATTTTAGGTCCTTCCAGGTTCCTCTTTCAAGGAATTAAAACTTCACTTCTTTTAATAAAATTCTTGTCTCTCTGGCACTCTCCCTGAGTCACACTTGTGCACTGCATGTGCTTCCGGGATCAGCAATTACTGGGACGTCAGAGTGCTCACTGGCTTCCCGTAGCCTAACCAAGTATAGGGCCCGAGTTTCACGTCCCACCTCTACCACCATGCCACCGTTGAACACACAGCCAATGAAGATGCACTTTGTACAGTGAGGAGGGATATGGTTAAACGTTCTATATTTGTAAGGGAAGGGGAATTGTGATTTTTTTTTTTTATTTTTTTGCTTTAAAGGCCAGACACATGTTCAGTATGTGATGCTTAAAAAAATTCACAGTTTATTTTTCTTCCCTGTTGTATGACTATTTGGTTGAACTTTCCTCAGACACCCAATACAGCAGTTTACAGATTTCCAACACATATTGTTCAATATACATGTGCTAAATGATTCATGACGATATCAGCTCATGGATTTATCTTTGGCTTGTGATAGAGCATCGAAATAAGTATGACCTCAATAAGACAAGGTATGAAGAGAATTGAACAGTGAGATACTTTTCTTGGCTTCAGTGTAACATGATTTTTCTGCTGTCTGGTTGCCTCTTTGCTGAAATTTACACTCAGTCAATAAATTTAAAACCATTAAAATATGTTGAGAGAATATTTATAGTTTACAATTTTTCTTTACCTTTGCATACAGGCCTGTGGTCACTCCAGGCAGCGAAGACTTCGGCTATCCTCTGGCAGGTTATACTCTTTGCCCCCTGCAGGACATAATCCTCATCACAAGAGAACTGAACAGTGGATCCAAGGCTGAAATTGAAAACACAGGATTTAAAATATGATTAGAAAATCTAAGGATTAGACGCCATACCTTTTGGCAGCATTGAAAAGATAAACCATGGGCCATAGTGACACAAAGTAACTGAGAAAACAGTACGAGAACATAGGGTTGCAACACGCACACTGAAAATCAAATCTAATGTTGGTCAACACATGCATATTTGAAACGGAATTGTAGAAATTTAAAACTATGGTCAAGTTTAAATAGCTTGTATTTTTACAGTGGAATAATTCACTAAACTTGCCATTTGATATAAGTGATAAAGGTGCATAAGAAGTGGACAGCTTTGATTACGTTTTATATCACAGTGTTTCTATAGGATGTACTTACCTGTACAGTTACTTAGACATGGTGTTTGAATTTCCGTGTGTATTTATAGATACGGACTATTTAGGGATTTTTGTATAGAGCGCATGCTCCATTTGGTGATTGAAAATTCACACACATTTTACTGATTAACCTACTGAAATTTAGATTCATTTCTCCTAAAAGTTCATAAAGTTACTATATTAAAAATCCTTGGCTGGGGATATAGCTTGGCAATCTAAGCACCTGCCTGGCAAGTGCAAGGACCAGGTTTCAGTCCTTGGTACCACATGCCATTCTAGCCTCAGAACACTGGGCACACCAGGCCAGTCACTGAAATGGGGCATGGTGGCTCCTGCCTGTAATCCCAGCACTGGGAAGGCTGAAATAGGAGGATCACTATGAGTCTGAACTGCATAGTGAAACCCTGCACCAAATAGATATATAAAAATATTTTAAAAATAATTTTTAAAATGCTCAATGCCAAGGATAGTAGATGTTTTTATAAATAAAATTTCACCATTTCTTTCTTTGAAGCCTTAAATAATAAACCATTAGCATAAATAAATAGTCGGTTTATTTTCTTGTGGTCTCTGGTCTAAGTTAAAGGTGACAAAAGACCTGATATACAGGGTGGTGTGACAAAGGACACCAGGTTTAAGCATGGTGGAAAATTCTCGAGAATCAGCAGCTTCACTTCAAGTATTAAACATATTCTGAAAAGTATAGAAAATGAAAATGAACCACAAAGTGAAATTTCATGAATTAAGTGTTCATATGGCCAAAATAAACAAACAAACAAACAAAAGGTTTTTTTAGGCTCTGCAACCTCTTAGTGACTTTCCTTTTAATTTTGATGCCTTAACAGCATACAGACCCTTGTCAGTTTACACTGTGGTGAGCTCTTTGCCTTTTGTTGCTGCCTCATCTTTGATAATGGAAAATGTACTTTTTTCTTTCTTTTTTAAAATTAATTTTATTGAGAAAAAATAGCAATGAGACAGTTTCAAAACAGGTTAGTAGGACATTTATAATAATTAATGCATTGCATACTGTTGTCTTCATAGTAGTTATTCATAGTGCAAGATGTAGACATGTCTTGTCTAAACACTATCAGAACAAATATTTCTTCTCATTTAAGGGAAAGTAGCTATATCTATATCCTAACAAATATATATATATATATATATATATACTACAAAATGGTCCTTCACTTTTTCTTTCTTATTTGCTAGGGTTGAAAACATTGGTGTTAGTTGTACAAAAAGTTTTAGATAGGAAATTTTATTTATCATGTACATCATGCTGCATATATACAATATATGCATACATATATGTACTATGAAATGGATAACTAGCTAATTAATGCATGCACTATGTCACATAGTATGTCACGTTCTCTTTTCCTGAGCATCTCAGATCCTTCCCACCAAGTAAATCCTGCTGGCAACACTTCCCAAATCCCGAGCTGCATTTCTTATCCCTTCCCTGTAGCTAACTGAGCCACCGTTGTTTCTCCTCTCGACTCCTGTCATACCTATTTTCCAATGCTCTTACTTTTTCTTGTTTCTCTTCCTGACTCTTTATTTTCTATCCTTAAATCACCAAGGGTGATGTTTGTGAAAAATAGCTCAAATTATTTAGCCATGCCTACCCTCAGGTCTCCCAGGATTTCCTTGTTTCTCTCAGAATGCATGGAGTACTCTAGTCATCCCCTGTGTGCTCCCTCCCCTGCCATTTTTTTTTGTTTATTACTTGTTTTTAATTTATAGAAAATGTATAATATAAGACACATTGCAATTCAGTCCTGGGGGAAGGATTCCCCCTGCTTCCAGCATACATTTCTAGCATGCATTGTTCTTGTCTTGGATTCAGTGTAACACTGCGTTTTAAAATGTTTTCATTAGCATACTGACATACAGCAAATATATTTGTTGCGGGTGTGTCTTTCCCTTTTGTGTCCCTTCTCATCTACTTCCTGTCAAACGCATGCTCGGATCATCCTTCTCCTTCCTCCTCAAATTCTCTCTGTCTACTAATTTTCAGATCGCATCTCCTGGGCCTCCTCCCTCCTTCGCTATGTTGCAGTCCCTTCCTCCTCACTGTCACCTGAACGTAGGACCTATACATCTGCCTCAGTGTCCATGCATTTGCTGGTGTTCCCAGCTGGAAAACTCTTTCCTCTGGAGTGCTCCTGTGAACATTTGCAACTGCTCGCCACCCTTGTCATTGTCATAAGGCACTCCTCAATGTCCCGTATGAAATGCCCAATTCCAATACATCATCTTCAACAGTTAGATTTAATGTGCACTATCTGATGCATCATAAATTTGTGTACTATTTTTCTTATAGAAAAATTCCAAGTACTTATGTTTTGCTTGCTGACCTGAGAAACACTCAGAGACTACAGATAGATAGATAGATAGATAGATAGATAGATAGACAGACAGACAGACAGACAGGCAGACAGACAGACAGATAGATATCCTCTGTCCTGAAAAATAGGACTTAGCTGGAACATGATCAGGGTGGAAAACTGGAAACCAAAAATGCCAGCCCCCATCTGCCTACCCTTGCCTTCTCTGCCTTCACCATTCTCTTCTTGGGTGGCTTCCATATAAGGCAGGTGATTAAAAAATAAATACAGGAGAGATATATAGAAAATGAATTCATGTAAGCAATTAGGAGTTGAAACAAATTAGTTACAACATTACAGGCCATGGTAAGGGGATTTGACTGTTATTTTAAGAAATGTGGGCAGTTAATACAGGGCTATAGATAAAGTGAATGACTTGATACTTTAGCGTTAAAGTGACCTCATTGACTACTGAGTGAGGAATACACTTGGTGGGGTGGGGGTGGGGCGGGAGTAGGAGCAGGAAGGTCCGTAAAGCTCTTCCAGCAAGCTGAGCTTTCAAGCCGGTGACACGGTGTCAGCTCCTACCAGGAAGATGGTGACCAGAAACTAATGCTGATGAAACCCTGGGAAAAGGAAGGCGCAGCCCAGGCCCTGGTGCACAGAATCGCTTCATTACTTTTTCTCACAAACTGAATGAATCAAGAATATGTCACAGTCACTATATTTGCCACAGTTGAGTATATTCTCATTTTAAGCAGCCCCCTCCTTGTTAAAAGATGCAAATAGACCTCTATACGGCTGCTTGAAAAGTGTTTTGATTATAGAAAATTAATTTATATGGTCTGAAGACTGACATGGGTTATGATAAGCACCTGACTGCTTTGCCGCTACACCAAAGGCTGCTAGTGATAATCTGAAGTTTCCATAACGCATCGTTAGATTGACAACTCCAACTTTTGTCTCCAAGCAATACATCAGAGAAAGCAAATTATGTAGGATGAAAAAGAAGTAATAGATAACAATTTAAAATGAAGTGTTGAGGTGGTCTTTCACAACCTCACTATGCCCTTAATGAGCTTTGATGAAAGCAGTACTCCTTATAGGCTTCAGCTTCCTTTTCTTCCATGATAACATAATGATAAGTTATCCATTGCCTAGCCCATAGCAGGCACTCAGTCATTTTCTTCATCAGGGTAAAGTTTTGATGGTCCAGGGATTCTTGCAATTCTGATCATTGGAAGTCATTTTGAACATCTTTGTTTTGCTCCTGATTTTAAAACTTCAAAGGGCCGGCCACATAGCTCAGCAGATTAAAGCTTCTGCAAGCAGGTGCAGGGGCCGGGGTTCAATCCCAGGGGCCAGGGGTTCAATCCCCTGGCCTGCTGGGCTGCCCCCCACCCCGAGTGAGCAGAGATGGCACTTGAGACTGGGTGTGGTGGCACACGCCTGTAACCCCAGATCTTGGGAGGCTGTAAAAAGGAGAATCACTACGAGTCTGATCTAGTAGTGAGACCCTGAACACCCTGTAGAGCCTTCTCTAAAATAAAAAAAAATAAAAAAAAATAAAAAACTTCATCTTCAGAATTTATGTCTAAATTTCGGTGAATGGAACTTGTTTTCCTCCACTGACTGGTCTGTATTCTCTGAATTTTATTGTTTTCCATACTTTCCCTCATATACACCCTATAATCCACTTATTATTAAAACATACATTGTTGGGCCAGGGAGAAGCTCAGTAGAATAAGTGCTTGCCTGGCAAGCGCAAGGGCCTGAGTTCAATCTCTGGTTCTGAAAAGACTAAAAAAACAAAAACATACACCGTTCCAGAAGTTTCATTTCTCCTCATTTAAGGCAAGATAGAAGAAGCAAAGTTAAGCAGAGAGAAGCGAAGGAAATGGTAGCTTTAACGTGTGGTTGAAGTCATCAGGGTAACCCACACATTTATTCTCTCGGATGCTTTTTCAGGCCAATCACTCCCAAACACCTAAGAATATTCGATATTAAAGTCCATAAATTAATCTGCTTGACAAAGTCAAGGGTAATAATCTGATCTAGAAATGAAGAAGCAAATGCAAATAATTTAAAGAATATTATAAACAAGACATCTTAGATCTTCCCTCTTAAAGGACCTCCAAACCCACACGCATCCCCAATTCCAGACCGTAGTGCATTTCACTCAACCACCTGCACCCTTTACTGAGTATAGATTTTGTTAACCTGATCCATCTGCCTCTGCCTCTCACCAACATATCCTGACATTCCTTTCCTTGAGCTCCTCCTCTCTTTAGAGGGACCTGTCTGATG